GACCAACATGAGACCAACATGAGACCAACATGAGACCAACATGAGACCAACATGAGACCAACATGAGACCAACATGAGACCAACATGAGACCAACATGAGACCAACATGAGACCAACATGAGACCAACATGAGACCAACATGAGACCAACATGAGACCAACATGAGACCAACATGAGACCAACATGAGACCAACATGAGACCAACATGAGACCAACATGAGACCAACATGAGACCAACATGAGACCAACATGAGACCAACATGAGACCAACATGAGACTATCAAGGAACCAACAACTTATGAGACTAGGACAAAATACAGCCAGCCCGCAGAACTTTCTCGAATGTGAACATCAAGTGAAATCTTGTTATAGAAATATCGAAGGGGGGAAAAGAAATATTTACTTGAACTCGCTAAAAAGGTGACAAAAAGCCAATTTAAGATATAAAATTTCAACTTTCGTCCACCTAGCTGAAACGTTACAAAACTTATCGATTTTTCAGAAACCTGAAATAAAGTATCACTTCCGGACATCGGAAGTAACTCAGAATTTAAACGTAATCAAACATAGTATCTATAATATAACGCTGCTTGTAGTGTGTCAGTCCTTCCTTCCTTCCGTCATCGCTACAGATTTGGAACCATAAAAGTAAACATCGAACCATGCAGTTCTTTTTAATTGCATCACATTGTCTTACTATAAGTGATATAGTAGGGTTTGTTTAAATAACGACTTAATTTTATTTTAAAGTTGCCACAGTTTTTACTCTTTTGCATAACGCAAAGAAAATACTAAATACACGCAATTTGCTAAAGCATATTAAACGGATCAATGTAAAATAATATTTTCGCTTAGATTCCTAGACAAATTGGATAAATTTTAGTAGGGTCGAAAAAAACTAGTTAATCAAAATATTTAATAATTCTGTCAGAGGAAGTAATTTAAAAAGAAACTCAATTCACGCAAAAAAAAATGTGAATGCAAATTCCGCGGACGTACAAGAAAGCATTATTGTTGGATATTATAATTAGCATGGATTGTTTAAGTTGTGTTTATGTTATGCGTTTGCCTTAGCGTTTTCGTTTGTTTTTTGTGTTTGCATTTGTGTTTACATTTGCATTGTGTTTGCGTTTTCTTTTGTGTTTGTGCTTGCGTTTGTTTTTTCTTTTGTGTTTTTTTTCGTTTTGCGTTTGTTTTTTCTTTTGTGTTTGAGTGTTGCGTTTGTGTTTGAGTTTTCGTTTGTGTTTTTTTGCGTTTGCGTTTGCATTGTGTTTGTGTTTGCATTGTTTTTGTGTTTGCATTTCTTTTGTGTTGTGTTTATGTTTTCTTTTGAGTTTGTGTTTGTGTTTGCGTTGTATTTGAGTCTTTGTTTGCGTTTGTGCTTAGTTTTGTTCTGTTCCCAAGTTGATACATTTTAAAAAGATTCACCGTGGCGGAGCACGGGTAAGCAGCTAGTGCGTGTATAAGAAACTTGGTCAAACTAGCTGAAACAGTACTCAGGTTGCCGTGTTGTCAGAGAAATCAAGTTCACCTTCCGACTATCGGAACTTGTTTCAAAGTTGATAGAAACCTGGACATACAATCTGATTATTTTTTGTCAAGTTTCCCCACTTAACTGAAACGGTAGTCCAGTTATCAGTTTTTTTCGGAAGTTGAGTATGTACCACTTCCGGCAATCGGAAATCGCTAAAACTTGAAAGAAAAATACGCATTTAATATACAACTAATAGATTTATATGAAACTTCGTCAACCTAAATCAAACGCTGCTCGTTATCATGTTAACCTAAACACACACACAAACACATACATACATATACAAATAAAACTTTAAAAAAAGGAAACAAAGTATTTTTCCAACTCATTGATGTGTAAAACGCCAAGATTTGTCAAAATTTCAATTTCAGTTTTTTTTTTTTTTTTTTTTTTTTTTTTTGCACGTTTACAATGGTTGCTCTTTATTCCGTATACGTGAGGGTAACAAGGCAAGAACAAATATTTTCGTTTACGGAAAAATGTCTCCGAAAAACAGTAAAATCAGTAGATCACAAAGTACTCATGTGGGATTTTCAATTTCAATTGGTAATTATAATTGGCCATTGACTGGCTGTTGGAATTGATAATAGATTCAAACAGATTGAAACAGATTGAAACAGATTGAAACAGATTGAAACAGATTGAAACAGATTGAAACAGATTGAAACAGATTGAAACAGATTCAAACAGATTCAAACAGATTCAAACAGATTCAGATTCAAACAGATTCAGATTCAAACAGATTCAAACAGATTCAAACAGATTCAAACAGATTCAAACAGAATAACTCGCTCTGTTTTTGACACAGACAGGCGCAGCTGTAGGTTCAAGCGCCATTTTTAACAGACAATTCTTTGTTACTCACACTCCCACGCCCTCCCACCCCCACCCCTCTCCCCAACCCCCCCCCCTCTCCCCACCCCCTACAACACTTACTATTGCATCGTTTGCTGCCTGTAGCATATATCATTTTTTACACAAATGTCAACGACCACCAAGACAAGAGCCCCACCCCCCCCCCCCCACACACACACACAAAAAGAGAGATGATCGTCTCTATGACAAGACTCTTGTAATATTTGATGTCAAATGATCGGCCAAAAAAGAACAAGAACACCCCCCCCTCCCACCCCCAGCCCGTCTTGCTAGATGAAAAGAAAGTGAAACCAGCGAGGGGAGAACAGGACAAAGGACAATGTCCCCGTAGCTGTACCCGCATTTGTGCGGGTACTACAGCCACCCGTGGCGCCCCCGTTAGCACCCACCCCCTTCACGCCGTAGGCTGTCTAGAACTGTCTCGTAGTTTTCTGTGTCCCATAGTTTTCTGTCTAGAGCTGTCTCGTAGTTTTCTGTGTCCCATAGTTTTCTGTCTAGAGCTGTCTCGTAGTTTTCTGTGTCCCATAGTTTTCTGTCTAGAGCTGTCTCGTAGTTTTCTGTGTCCCATAGTTTTCTGTCTAGAACTGTCTCGTAGTTTTCTGTGTCCCATAGTTTTCTGTCTAGAGCTGTCTCGTAGTTTTCTGTGTCCCATAGTTTTCTGTCTAGAACTGTCTCGTAGTTTTCTGTGTCCCATAGTTTTCTGTCTAGAGCTGTCTCGTAGTTTTCTGTGTCCCATTGTTTTCTGTCTAGAGCTGTCTCGTAGTTTTCTGTGTCCCATAGTTTTCTGTCTAGAGCTGTCTCGTAGTTTTCTGTGTCCCATAGTTTTCTGTCTAGAGCTGTCTCGTAGTTTTCTGTGTCCCATAGTTTTCTGTCTAGAGCTGTCTCGTAGTTTTCTGTGTCCCATAGTTTTCTGTCTAGAACTGTCTCGTAGTTTTCTGTGTCCCATAGTTTTCTGTCTAGAGCTGTCTCGTAGTTTTCTGTGTCCCATAGTTTTCTGTCTAGAACTGTCTCGTAGTTTTCTGTGTCCCATAGTTTTCTGTCTAGAGCTGTCTCGTAGTTTTCTGTGTCCCATTGTTTTCTGTCTAGAGCTGTCTCGTAGTTTTCTGTGTCCCATAGTTTTCTGTCTAGAGCTGTCTCGTAGTTTTCTGTGTCCCATAGTTTTCTGTCTAGAGCTGTCTCGTAGTTTTCTGTGTCCCATAGTTTTCTGTCTAGAGCTGTCTCGTAGTTTTCTGTGTCCCTTAGTTTTCTGTCTAGAGCTGTCTCGTAGTTTTCTGTGTCCCTTAGTTTTCTGTCTAGAGCTGTCTCGTAGTTTTCTGTCTGTCTCTTAGATTTCTGTCTAGAACTGTCTCTTAGTTTTCTGTCTAGAGCTGTCTCGTAGTTTTCTGTCTGTTTCGTAGTTTTCTGTCTAGAACTGTCTTGTAGTTTTCTGTCTAGAACTGTCTCGTAGTTTTCTGTCTGTCTCTTAGATTTCTGTCTAGAACTGTCTCGTAGTTTTCTGTCTAGAGCTGTCTCGTAGTTTTCTGTCTGTCTCTTAGATTTCTGTCTAGAACTGTCTCGTAGTTTTCTGTCTAGAACTGTCTCGTAGTTTTCTGTCTGTCTCTTAGATTTCTGTCTAGAACTGTCTCTTAGTTTTCTGTCTAGAGCTGTCTCGTAGTTTTCTGTCTGTCTCTTAGATTTCTGTCTAGAACTGTCTCTTAGTTTTCTGTCTAGAACTGTCTCTTAGTTTTCTGTCTAGAGCTGTCTCGTAGTTTTCTGTCTAGAACTGTCTTGTAGTTTTCTGTCTAGAACTGTCTTGTAGTTTTCTGTCTAGAGCTGTCTTGTAACTTTCTGCTTAGAACTGTCTCTTAGTTTTAGTGTAATAAACACTAAATAATTGTAACTAGGTTATAAGTGGATTAGGTTAGGATTAGAGTTCGACTTTCACTTGTAGAAAACGTCAAAAACATAAATCATGAAATGAAAAAAAAAAGTAAAATGACGTCACAAGCTCTCGACTATCTCTCCAGTTACAAAAAAAAATAATACTTCCGGGTTTTGGGGGCTTAGAAATACAGGAATAAAAGCACACATGTTTTTTTTGGGTAGGGGTTAAGACCGGGGTGGGAGGGGGGGGTGGGGGGGTCAAAACATCTCGGAGAATAGTAGGGGTGGGAGAATTGTGTGAGAAAAACAAAGTGAGAAAATAAAAAACAAGAAACCCGCAACCCGACCCCGATCCCTGGTATTATGTAACAGAAAGGGGTCGGAGACGAAAGATGGGATTAGTCAATAGTACCGTCTGAAAGGTGAGACAGGCTAGAGGGTTGCTGCCCCTGTTTCCCAGGACCGCTAGGGAAAACTAGGTCACAGGAAGTCGTATTTCAGTCCCAGCACGGGTGTAGACCGGGGGGGGGGTGGATGGGAAGACGTCACGGCAGCCGACAAGAAAATGACAAGATGACGTGACAGATTCTACCACGATTAAAACGTCCCGATCATTTTTGTATCGTCTGCTAGGGGTATGAACTCGGCCATGTGCCAGAGACGGGGTGCAGGCAGGATAGTCGCCCCTGACAGGCAGGATAGTCGCCCCTGACAGGCGAGCTACTTACCTGTCATATCCACATTGGTTGGGGCCAAAGTTCAAAGTTCAGCGACGCGTGGCCAGAGTCGTCGAGTCATTGGTTGGTTCAGTAAAACAGCAAGTCAGACGCCACCTGAGTTATCCCCCATCACGTGAGCGAATTATATCCCCCCCCCCACCCCCCATCCCGTCCCGTGGAACCGCTCAATTGATGTAGATGAAAACGTACCTTTACAAAACTTGGCTCTACGTTCCTAGGCCTGACAAACGCCATCAGAACTGAATGCCGAGTTTTGATGGTTGTAGTGGAAGTGATTGGGTGGAACAAAGTCTGGCTAGATTGACGGGAACATTTTGACTTGATTGTTGTCACATCAACTGTTGTCACATCAACTGTTGTCACATCTGACTGTTGTCACATCAACTGTTGTCACATCTGACTGTTGTCACATCAACTGTTGTCACATCTGACTGTTGTCACATCAACTGTTGTCACATCAACTGTTGTCACATCAACTGTTGTCACATCTGACTTGTCACATCTGACTTGTCACATCAACTGTTGTCACATCTGACTTGTCACATCAACTGTTGTCACATCAACTGTTGTCACATCTGACTGTTGTCACATCAACTGTTGTCACATCTGACTTGTCACATCTGACTTGTCACATCAACTGTTGTCACATCTGACTTGTCACATCAACTGTTGTCACATCAACTGTTGTCACATCAACTGTTGTCACATCTGACTGTTGTCACATCTGACTGTTGTCACATCAACTGTTGTCACATCAACTGTTGTCACATCAACTGTTGTCACATCAACTGTTGTCACATCAACTGTTGTCACATCTGACTTGTCACATCAACTGTTGTCACATCAACTGTTGTCACATCAACTGTTGTCACATCAACTGTTGTCACATCTGACTGTTGTCACATCTGACTTGTCACATCAACTGTTGTCACATCAACTGTTGTCACATCTGACTGTTGTCACATCTGACTGTTGTCACATCTGACTTGTCACATCAACTGTTGTCACATCAACTGTTGTCACATCTGACTGTTGTCACATCTGACTGTTGTCACATCAACTGTTGTCACATCAACTGTTGTCACATCTGACTGTTGTCACATCTGACTGTTGTCACATCTGACTGTTGTCACATCAACTGTTGTCACATCAACTGTTGTCACATCTGGCTGTTGTCACATCAACTGTTGTCACATCAACTGTTGTCACATCAACTGTTGTCACATCAACTGTTGTCACATCAACTGTTGTCACATCAACTGTTGTCACATCAACTGTTGTCACATCTGACTTGTCACATCAACTGTTGTCACATCTGACTGTTGTCACATCTGACTTGTCACATCAACTGTTGTCACATCAACTGTTGTCACATCAACTGTTGTCACATCAACTGTTGTCACATCTGACTGTTGTCACATCTGACTGTTGTCACATCAACTGTTGTCACATCAACTGTTGTCACATCAACTGTTGTCACATCAACTGTTGTCACATCAACTGTTGTCACATCAACTGTTGTCACATCTGACTGTTGTCACATCTGACTGTTGTCACATCTGACTGTTGTCACATCTGACTGTTGTCACATCTGACTTGTCACATCAACTGTTGTCACATCTGACTGTTGTCACATCTGACTTGTCACATCAACTGTTGTCACATCAACTGTTGTCACATCAACTGTTGTCACATCTGACTGTTGTCACATCTGACTGTTGTCACATCAACTGTTGTCACATCAACTGTTGTCACATCAACTGTTGTCACATCAACTGTTGTCACATCAACTGTTGTCACATCTGACTGTTGTCACATCTGACTGTTGTCACATCTGACTGTTGTCACATCTGACTGTTGTCACATCTGACTGTTGTCACATCTGACTTGTCACATCAACTGTTGTCACATCTGACTTGTCACATCAACTGTCGTCACATCAACTGTTGTCACATCAACTGTTGTCACATCAACTGTTGTCACATCTGACTTGTCACATCAACTGTTGTCACATCTGACTGTTGTCACATCAACTGTTGTCACATCAACTGTTGTCACATCTGACTGTTGTCACATCTGACTGTTGTCACATCTGACTGTTGTCACATCTGACTTGTCACATCAACTGTTGTCACATCTGACTTTTGTCACATCTGACTTGTCACATCAACTGTTGTCACATCAACTGTTGTCACATCTGACTGTTGTCACATCTGACTGTTGTCACATCTGACTTGTCACATCAACTGTTGTCACATCAACTGTTGTCACATCAACTGTTGTCACATCTGACTGTTGTCACATCTGACTGTTGTCACATCAACTGTTGTCACATCAACTGTTGTCACATCTGACTGTTGTCACATCTGACTGTTGTCACATCTGACTGTTGTCACATCAACTGTTGTCACATCAACTGTTGTCACATCTGACTGTTGTCACATCAACTGTTGTCACATCAACTGTTGTCACATCAACTGTTGTCACATCAACTGTTGTCACATCAACTGTTGTCACATCAACTGTTGTCACATCAACTGTTGTCACATCTGACTTGTCACATCAACTGTTGTCACATCTGACTGTTGTCACATCTGACTGTTGTCACATCTGACTGTTGTCACATCTGACTGTTGTCACATCTGACTTGTCACATCAACTGTTGTCACATCAACTGTTGTCACATCAACTGTTGTCACATCTGACTGTTGTCACATCTGACTGTTGTCACATCAACTGTTGTCACATCAACTGTTGTCACATCAACTGTTGTCACATCAACTGTTGTCACATCAACTGTTGTCACATCTGACTGTTGTCACATCTGACTGTTGTCACATCTGACTGTTGTCACATCTGACTGTTGTCACATCTGACTGTTGTCACATCTGACTTGTCACATCAACTGTTGTCACATCTGACTGTTGTCACATCTGACTTGTCACATCAACTGTTGTCACATCAACTGTTGTCACATCAACTGTTGTCACATCTGACTGTTGTCACATCTGACTGTTGTCACATCAACTGTTGTCACATCAACTGTTGTCACATCAACTGTTGTCACATCAACTGTTGTCACATCAACTGTTGTCACATCTGACTGTTGTCACATCTGACTGTTGTCACATCTGACTGTTGTCACATCTGACTGTTGTCACATCTGACTGTTGTCACATCTGACTGTTGTTGACTTGTCACATCAACTGTTGTCACATCTGACTTGTCACATCAACTGTTGTCACATCAACTGTTGTCACATCAACTGTTGTCACATCAACTGTTGTCACATCAACTGTTGTCACATCAACTGTTGTCACATCAACTGTTGTCACATCAACTGTTGTCACATCTGACTTGTCACATCAACTGTTGTCACATCAACTGTTGTCACATCTGACTGTTGTCACATCTGACTGTTGTCACATCTGACTGTTGTCACATCTGACTTGTCACATCAACTGTTGTCACATCAACTGTTGTCACATCTGACTGTTGTCACATCTGACTGTTGTCACATCTGACTTGTCACATCACCTGTTGTCACATCAACTGTTGTCACATCAACTGTTGTCACATCTGACTGTTGTCACATCTGACTGTTGTCACATCAACTGTTGTCACATCAACTGTTGTCACATCTGACTGTTGTCACATCTGACTGTTGTCACATCTGACTGTTGTCACATCTGACTGTTGTCACATCAACTGTTGTCACATCAACTGTTGTCACATCTGACTGTTGTCACATCAACTGTTGTCACATCAACTGTTGTCACATCAACTGTTGTCACATCAACTGTTGTCACATCAACTGTTGTCACATCAACTGTTGTCACATCAACTGTTGTCACATCTGACTTGTCACATCAACTGTTGTCACATCTGACTGTTGTCACATCTGACTGTTGTCACATCTGACTGTTGTCACATCTGACTGTTGTCACATCTGACTGTTGTTGACTTGTCACATCAACTGTTGTCACATCTGACTTGTCACATCAACTGTTGTCACATCAACTGTTGTCACATCAACTGTTGTCACATCAACTGTTGTCACATCAACTGTTGTCACATCAACTGTTGTCACATCAACTGTTGTCACATCAACTGTTGTCACATCAACTGTTGTCACATCTGACTTGTCACATCAACTGTTGTCACATCAACTGTTGTCACATCTGACTGTTGTCACATCTGACTGTTGTCACATCTGACTGTTGTCACATCTGACTTGTCACATCAACTGTTGTCACATCTGACTGTTGTCACATCTGACTTGTCACATCAACTGTTGTCACATCTGACTTGTCACATCAACTGTTGTCACATCAACTGTTGTCACATCTGACTTGTCACATCAACTGTTGTCACATCTGACTTGTCACATCAACTGTTGTCACATCAACTGTTGTCACATCAACTGTTGTCACATCTGACTTGTCCCATCAACTGTTGTCACATCTGACTGTTGTCACATCTGACTGTTGTCACATCAACTGTTGTCACATCAACTGTTGTCACATCTGACTGTTGTCACATCAACTGTTGTCACATCAACTGTTGTCACATCAACTGTTGTCACATCAACTGTTGTCACATCTGACTTGTCACATCAACTGTTGTCACATCTGACTGTTGTCACATCTGACTTGTCACATCAACTGTTGTCACATCAACTGTTGTCACATCTGACTTGTCACATCAACTGTTGTCACATCTGACTTGTCACATCAACTGTTGTCACATCAACTGTTGTCACATCTGACTGTTGTCACATCAACTGTTGTCACATCAACTGTTGTCACATCAACTGTTGTCACATCAACTGTTGTCACATCAACTGTTGTCACATCAACTGTTGTCACATCTGACTGTTGTCACATCTGACTGTTGTCACATCAACTGTTGTCACATCTGACTTGTCACATCAACTGTTGTCACATCAACTGTTGTCACATCAACTGTTGTCACATCAACTGTTGTCACATCTGACTGTTGTCACATCTGACTGTTGTCACATCAACTGTTGTCACATCAACTGTTGTCACATCTGACTGTTGTCACATCTGACTGTTGTCACATCAACTGTTGTCACATCAACTGTTGTCACATCAACTATTGTCACATCAACTGTTGTCACATCAACTGTTGTCACATCAACTGTTGTCACATCAACTGTTGTCACATCAACTGTTGTCACATCAACTGTTGTCACATCAACTGTTGTCACA